ATTTTCTTGTTCAGCAACTTGTCCATAAACAAAGCCTGTTAATTTTTAGGTGTTGGTTTATTTTGTTAACACATACTGATTTGACTCTGGTCCATTTAAATTTTCTCTTCGTGATTTCTTTTCTGAAGCTATTAATTGCTATCCTTGTTTTTAGAGATTAAATTTATATTGCAGTGAAAGCATGTCTCTTGATCATGCCATGTCAGTCTGTTCGTCTGTGCTGGAATATATTGGTTGATGTTTATGAGAGGCACACCACATTGGAATACATCATATCATTTTTCGTTGAATTTTTATTTATTTATTTTTTTTGTCTTGGCGAAATATTTTGGAAGAAAACCTTGTTGTCATCACAGTCATACAATTATGTCCATTGGTTGGTTCGTTCCTTCTTCCTCCTGTTTTTTGTGTCTTTTTAATATTTAGTTGCAAATCTTGTAGAATTTTGCAACTTCTTGTTTGTTTATGCTTTTCACCATCATAGACTTCCAACTAAGGGTCCCTTTCACAGACTAAGTGCTCAGTATATTCAATTAAATTCCCATATATATGTCAAGAAAATTACAATATTCATTTTGTCATCCTGAATCACACATTAGATTTTCTGCAAGGGAAAAATTAAAATAAATTCTGATTACATGGTGCTAAATATCAGGTTTACCAAGAGAGTATGCCAAGTGAGAGAGATAACGCCATACCACTCTAAAGGTAGGCAGTCAGTTTGAGATCTTGAAATGTGAATCAATGTCCGTTCATCAAGTACCTTGCAAATAGGACTCACACTTGCGGTAAAAAAGAGTGTTTTGATTAGACTTGATTTCTTGTGGTCTACATGTCGAGTTCCATATCACTGGACTTTCATGGCAGTTTCTCACACTTTGTGTAGAACTTATTACAGTTCTTGGGGCGAATTTCATGCCAGGAGCTGGTATCTCTGAAGTGTTAAGGTTGTCGTAAACTGTATTTATGAGTAGTAGTTAGTAGCATTTATCCATCGCTTGCAGGTCATGGGACTATGTTTCATCAGTATGTTTAATCCAAAAAGTATATGCAGGTATCTAACAACCTATTGAATAGGTATGCAAGACAAGTTTGATTATTTTTGGTGATTCTTGTAATCTCAATAAATGTGGAACTTGATACAGTTCAATAGAAGCTTGCTATTATTTTGCCTCGAGTTCCCTTGGAGGTCAATGTCTTATTTGACACATGTAATAAGCAGGTATATGTCAGCCTCCTAGCGAGTTACTGTTTGCAAAACTAGCATGGGAGGCTTGTTTATATGAGACATCTTGGTGCAGGTGTTTCATGCCGTGTATTTTGACATCTAGTACACTTGCTGATAGATGATTGAAGTGTGTAATTATCTAGTAGACCTATTCTGATAATTTATTGTTTTGAGGTCAATCTGGCATGGAAGTTGTAAATGTTCTTTTCTTTACATTTTGTACATTTTGGTGGTAAAGCTCTCCGGATCTTCTTATCTAAACTTCTGACAATAATATATTTATCTTGTAGAGGTCATTGGCTTCATACATAAAAAAATTTGCCTGTTCAAATGCGAAGACTGAAGATCTATGGGCTGTTCTTGAAGATGAATCAGGTGAACCAGTAAAGATGTTGATGAATTCTTGGACAAAGCAGAAAGGTTATCCTGTTGTTTATGCAAAAGTTAACAATGGGAACTTGCAACTTGAGCAGGTTTGTTGCTGCAATGCTTGTTTTCTTCTTCTTTCTGCTCCTTTTCCCTAGGCTGAGCATGATTGATTGTATCCTTTATCTATATAAACATCTATGCCCTTATATAACATATAGACTTACTCCATTTAACATGTATGTGTAATTTACAAATTGTCATATGCTATTACCACCCAGTGCCTTTGATTTATTATTGTCTGAATTATTTTATCTTTTTTTGTCATCACAGACACAGTTTTTGTCAAGTGGGTGCGAAGGGAATGGACAATGGATTGTCCCTATTACATTATGTTGTGGTTCATATGCATCTCAGAAGAAGTTCCTATTGAAAACAAAATCTGAGAAGTTGGATGTGCCAGAACTGTTCAATCCAGAAAATCAGAAGATAAGTGGAAGTGTCTGGATTAAATTTAATGTTGACCAAACAAGCTTCTATAGGGTGAAATATGATGATGAACTTGCAGCAGGACTAAGACGTGCAATAGAGGCTAATCAACTTTCTCCAACAGATAGATTTGGTACATTACTATAAAATTCTTCCCTTTTTTTGTATGGTTCTATTAACTGAAATATTGCTTCAACTATAGGTGTTTTGGATGATTCATTTGCCCTTTGTATGGCTTGTAAGCAAACATTGTCATCTTTGCTGTCTCTGATGGCCGCCTTCTCAGAAGAGGATGAATATACTGTTCTTTCTCAAATGATCACTGTGTGTCTCTCTCCATATCTTGGATGTTTTGCTCTTGTTCAATTGCAACATCTGATATAAGTACTTTTCACTGAACAGATTAGTTACAAAGTTATTAGTACTGCTGCTGATGCCACTCCAGAGTTGCTAGCGGACATCAAACAGTTCTTGATCAACCTTCTCTGGCATTCCGCAGAGTATGTGCTGTTGCATTATTTTGGCTAATTTATTTAGATATGTTGATATGTAACGATCTCTTGATTGTCTTTTTTCTTTACCGAGGTACTTCACATATAAAACATGTTGTTGATGGATCAGTTTTTGCATGTGATGCATGCTACAGTTATTCTCAAATTAAGTCTCTTTCTTCAATGACCGCTAAACATATTGTAAGGATTTATAGCAGCAAGAAATTGTAGGATGGAATTACAAACATACTTAAGGATTAGGAAAAGGAATATTAGAACCTGTTTTCTATGTTTTAGGAAGGTCTTTGATAGGAGAATTTGTTCATTGGTAAAAATCTTTTGCAAAAGTTCTTACATATAACCACATGTACAATCTCCTTCAGCATTGTCCTAGTTTTAAGGAATAAAATGGGAACATAGTTTATTCTCGGCATCTGCTTATCTATGCAAAATTTTTTTGATACCCTATAATATTAGGAAAGAAGCATTTTTTGCTTGAACAGAGATATTGGGGAAAAAATTGGGTGGGTACACATAAAACCTCCTATTTGTTTTTGTAGCACCAGAAAGCTAAAACTTGCCTGACTAGATATTTTACGGGTTATATCTAAGAGACCATAATTTTATAAAATGGTGTTATTGAACATTAAGAAATTGCATTCTCTAACATAATAGGTTATATGTCATCCTTCAGCATGTTGCTTGCTCATTTTTAACAGATTTATGTTGCTACTGGTCATCTTATTACCAGGAACATAATCAATCTCTCAAAACAATGGTTTTGGAGGATTTAGTAACATCGATATCTTTTTTCTTGTGGTGTTTGATTTCTTGGGTAATTTCTTCTACGGGAAGCTAGGTTGGGATCCCTTGTCTAAGAGCCTTGAAGGCTAAGGTTCGTCCCCCGATATGCTCCCCACAGATTCCCTCGTGGAGCTCGGCAAGGACCGTTTCAGCTTCTGATGGTGCGAGACAGCGTAGGAGGGGTTGAGAGAAGCCCCTGCGGTATAACTTTTCGCCAATGATGCAGTACCAGGCCTGGGTTCGCCTCAGTCGCTTCGCGACTACCGGATCGTCAGGCTTCGTCCCGTCTTTCTTGAAGCGAAGGATTTCTTCCATCCAGTTCGGCGAGACTCGAGTTTCAGCAACGTCATGTGACGGTATTGTTGGTGCCATTATGGACTCGGTCTCGGGGGTTGCTTCCAGGCTGCGGGCGGAGGCTGACTTAGCCAAAGCATCGGCCTATGTGTTCTGAGCCCGAGGTATTCGAGTGACCGAAAGACGATTGAAGAGACGAGCGAGCCGCTGTGCCTCCGCCAGGTATAACGTAATGGTCGAGTCTCGGGCTTCGTAGCTCCCGTTGACGTGCCCTGTCACGAGTTGGGAGTCGCTGAATACCTCGAGGTCGGCCACCTGCATCTCTAAGGCGAGGCGTAGGCCATGAAGTAGCGCTTCGTACTCGGTCTCGTTGTTGGTGGCTCGGAATCATAGCCGGAGCGATCTCTCGTAGGTTTCTCCGGTTGGGCCCTTGAGGATAAGTCCGATCCCGGCCGCCTCGACGGTGGCCGAACCATCTACATGCAGGGTCCACGGGGGACCGTTGCTTTCTTGGCCCTCTTCATGATCTTTAGGTGTTAGCTCAGAGATGAAATCGACCAGTACCTGGGCTTTGACGGCGGTTCTGGGAGAGTACAAAATGTCGAATTCGTCGAGCTCGACCGACCACCGCAGCATTCGTCCTGACGCGTCAAATTTGGACAGGATTTGTCGCAGTGGCTGGTCGGTGATGACCTTGATTGTGTGAGATTGGAAGTATGGTCACAGCTTTCGAGTCGTTTTCATCAACGCGAGGGTCAGCTTTTCGATCAGGGAATACCGTACTTCGGCCCCATTGAGGACGTGGCTGATGTAGTAGATATGTTATTGCGTTGGTGGCGTTTCCCGAACTAATACCGAGCTGATCGCTCGCGCTGAGGCCGCTAGCTAAAGCCCAAGGGTTTCTCCAAGCTCGGGGGAGGCGAGTCGGAGCAAGCGGATGAGGCACGCCTTTAACCTTTTGAAGGCCTCTTCATATTCCGGGGTCCATGTGAAGCTTTCGGCTTGCCGTAGAGCCCGGAAGAAGGGGAGGCACTTGTCGCCTGATCGTGACATGAATCTGCTGAGTGTTGCCAGCTTTCCGGTAAGGCGCTGCACCTCCTTAATAGAGCGGGGCGGAAGCATCTCGGTTATAGCCCAAACTTTCTCCGGGTTGGCGTCTATCCCTCTCTGGTGGATGATGAAACCGAGGAATTTTTTCGAGCTGACCCCGAAGACGCACTTCGCGGGATTTAGGCGCATGTTGAATCGTCTAAGGGTTTGGAAAGTTTCCGCCAAGTCGGCCAGATGTGTGCTTGCGGTTTTGCTTTTAACGATCATGTCTTCCACATGTACTTCCATGTTCCTCCCGAGTTGGTGCTTAAACAGCTTGTTAACCATTCTTTGGTAGGTTGCACCAACATTTTTCAGGCCGAAAGGCATTACTTTGTAGCAGTAAACTCCTCTGTTGGTGACGAAGGCAGTGCTCTCTTGGTCTTTTGATGTCATTCGGATTTGGTTGTAGCCCAAGAATGCGTCCATGAATGTTAGGAGTTCATAACCTGCTGTGGCGTCGACTAGCTGGTCTATCCTTGGAAGTGGATAGCAGTCTTTGGGGCATGCCCGGTTGAGGTCGGTATAGTCAACACACATCCGCCAGCTTCCATTGGGTTTTTTAACGAGGACTACATTCGACAGCCATTAAGGGTACTTTACTTCGGTAATGAACCCAGCCCCTTTAAGGCGGTCAACCTCATCGTCAATCGCCTTTTGTCAGTCGGGAGCAAACTTCCTCGGTTTTTGCTTTACTGGCCTTGCCCCGGGGTTGATGCTAAGCTGGTGCTGGGCCACCTCCTGGTCAATCCCCGGCATCTCATCAAGAGACCATGCGAATACGTCGGCATTTTCCCTTAGGAAATCGATGAGTTGGAGCCGACTTTCTTTGGATTGTGCCGTACCGACCTTCGCGATCAGATCGGGTCGGTTTCTTTTCAAGGGCACCTCGGTGAGTTGTTCTGGTAGGTAGAGACCACCACTTTCAGTTTGTTGAGTGTCGGTCGGCCAAGGATGGCGTTGTAGGCTGAGGGTAGGTTGACCACCATGAAAGTAGTCAATGTTGTCTTGGCTCTTGGCTCTTCATTGATCCTATGCCTCTTTTCCATCTATTTCTTTAAGAGCCTCTCGTCCTTTGGTTCGACCGGAGTAGTCGGCACCCCACCACCACCACCTGATATCGAGGAGAGCCCTCACATGTCGCCGAAGGTGCCCCCAAGGGCGGTCTGCTTGCTGAACCCTGCAGCACACGCTCCCGCGAGCCCTTCCAGCTCAAAGGCCACTGTCGTGGACAATATCAGGAGCAGCTCTAGGAGCTTGACGGAGCTTTTAGCTCCGGCCACCTTCTCAACCGGGATCTTCTACAGCATCCCGTTGATGGTCCAAAAGAACCACCATGGCTATCGGCTCTACGAGCCCCTCCTCGCTTTCGTGCTCCTGGGGGGGGGTGTGGTCGAGCGTGGTGGCCCATCTTCTGTGGTCGTAGAAAGAGCCACCGTGAGGCTGAGGCGGGTGGTAATGATAGTCGAAGCTGCTCCAGGTCGGACTTATATACTACCATAAAAGATGCAGTTTTATTCTTCTAGTAACTTTTTCACCGTAAGAAATAAAGACTACGTTAAATTTAATGTATTTATTTACGGTTTGGGTTTTGGATAGAGGGGAGGAACCACCTTTGTGCTCCAGATTCAAGGACCCCACGGCACGCCTCGATGGAGGGGCGGGAGAAGTGATAAGGTATACTTCGGGCCCAGGCCACGTCACAATCGATGCCACGCCACGCCACAACCAAGTCAGCAAGAGAAGCACCCCCATGCGTTGAGCCAGCAACCGTACCAAGACGCCACTCGGTATGTCCCGTCTCGGTAAGCCCGGGACAACGCCGCATGGCGCCGTTTCGCACGTCCTTGGACGGCGACAGCACAAAGGTACCATCTCATCCCTCAAGGATCGGTCGCCATGTTAAACCCATGTACAACCGACTCTCGTACAGTAGTATAAAAGCCCCTGGTCGACATCCGGCCAAGAGGAAAAAAAAAAGAGGCAGAAAGCAGAACCCCACACTAACTTACTTGTCGAGGGGTCACAGTCGGTAACGACCCGACGGGGCCTTCTGTGCAGGAAAGCGGCAACGTCCGAGACGAGGCCATCCCGATCGATAGAGGTGTCCTTCCTCCCGACGCGCCAATCAGCATCCCGACAAAGAGACGTTAATCAATATTGCAGCGCCAACACACCGACTGGAGGGCTCGACCGACTTTAGCATCCAGCTCAGTCGATCGAAGACTCCCGACATCGCTCCGTGGATCAGGTCATACTGACTCATCAGCCACAGCACATCAGTTCATCAACATCCCCTTTGGATGGGTCAATGTAATTATCAGAACAGGTAGGAGATATTGGTCCATATCCAACTTTATTTCCACCTCCTCACTTTAATGCTTCATGAGGACTTAATTCTTTGTCACGATTGCGTGAAAGCTGCTGCAGTTGTAGGATTTATATTACTTTCAGGAAAAGTTATGACGAGTGTTTCTGTAATTGTAATTTGTGTATATAATGAAGGATTTCTTCTTCGTTCCTTATATGTAATTAACCTTAGAAAAATAAATAAAAATATATGGAATTGCCACGTGACAACATGCGCGCATGCCCCATAGCATGTTTATTGCATGCTCACCACGTAACTCCAAAGTGATCAAGATATTATCGTCATCATCATGACACTATGCGAGCATGCCGTATCGCATATTGACTCGTGAGTTGTCGACTAGTTTT